AGGGGTGAGCGAGCGGTGAGGCCGAGTGACGCGGGCACGAGTTAGGGGTGAGACGGGATGGCACGTGGGCGAGTAAGCGGATTGTAGAACACGGACGAGCGAGGGGGAGTGCGGTGGGGGTAGTTGGAGGGTCATTTCGGGTTGAGTGGGTGAGCGAACACGGTGGTGAGCAGACGGGAAGTGAGCGTGGGGTTAAAGGGATGGTCTGAGGGTGGCAGGGGTCCGGGTGCTGGTGTGGTGGTGAGTCGAGGTGGGACAAACGTGAGATGCGTGTGTGTCTGTCGGGGTGATACAACCTGGGCGAGTCTGGGTGTGTACCACAGGGGTCCCCTGTGGGGTTGCTGTAGACCCCCTCCCGACGGGGGTCCCGTTGTAAGCCGATGTAATCACGACCAGGCCTTTGTTCCATTGTTGTTGTTGTGGCTGTGATGATCGCGGCGCCACGTGGGGTATCCCCCCGCCCCCTGCTTTCCCGCGCCAGCACGCGTCTGTGCTGCCCAACACGTGCAGCACACGTGCCGTGATGCCGACAGCACAGCACGCGTGCAGCACATGTGCCGTGATGCCGACAGCACAGCACGCGTGCAGCACACGTGCCGTGATGCCGACAGCACAGCACGCGTGCAGCACACGTGCCGTGATGCCGACAGCACAGCACGCGTGCAGCACACGTGCCGTGATGCCGACAGCACAGCACGCGTGCAGCACACGTGCCGTGATGCCGACAGCACAGCACGCGTGCAGCACACGTGCCGTGATGCCGACAGCAGAGCACGCGTGCAGCACGTTTGCTGTGCTGCCCACAGCACGGCACGGGTGCAGCACACGTGGGCCTCTGCGAACAGTTGTCGGTGATGCAGAGGAGTAAGGGGTCTGCCGTGTACTGCCCTGGAAGGTTATGAAGGACACGTGATATCTTTTACAGATACGACTGGGGTGGGAGACGGGACAGACTTAAAACGCAATGCCCCCCCCCCCTCCCATAAACTAGAATGGAGAAATCAGAATGGAATGAATGCTGCTATAGACTGACACTGTAGACACCTCCTTGGACATATCCTGTTTACCATTATAATCTAGGGGCATTCGGTTTTCTGCCCTGTAATTCGTTTTAGTCTTCGCTGGGGAGTTGGCTGGAATAGTGTATGAGACGATCACTTGGTCCTCCACTGTGCTGGAACAATGGCTGTACTGTAGTCGTGTACTGTTGGTAGATAACAAGGGTTATGTATTGTGCTTCGAGATCAATTGGGTGTCTGTCCCGTATTGAGTGATGTGCTGTGCTGGACATTTATGGAGTCCTCTTCTGCATTGGCAGATGCCTGGAGCCATGTCGCGTGTTGAGTAGTGAATGGTGTTGTGTATTGCGCAGCATTAAGCGATCATTGGGTCTCCTTCTGCTGTGGTAGAATGTGACTGGAAGCCATGTGCTGTGTTAAAATAGGACTGGGATCATGGGCTGTGGTAGATTCGTGGGGCAGTGTATCGTGTTGGAATGTGAATGTAGTCGTGGACTTCTGGGTAGATAACAGGGGCCGTGTCCTGTGTTGTGATAACTTGGGTCCCTGTATCGTGTTGGGATCTGACTGGAGTGTCGTGTACTGTGTTGAGAGAACATTTGAGCTGTGAAATGTACCGTGTTGGTGTTGCGAGATTCTGTTTAGTGATGCCTTTTCGTTCTCTAGTGTGTTAGAAATTGACTTGAGTTCCACACTGCATTTTCGAGGAAGTGTATTGGCGGGTGGGCCCCACACGGGGGTGCAGGGTGGGCCATGCGGGTGGGGCCCGCACCGGCGTGCAGGGTGGGCCGTGCGGGTGGGCCCCGCATGGAGGTGCAGGGAGGGCCGTGCGGGTGGGCTCCCGTACTGCAGGAGCCGTCGCTGCGTGAACACTCGTTGAATGGGCTGCGCCGTCTCGGCCGTCTCCGAGTAGCCCGGATTAGCCTGCAAATATTTGCCACCGTCGCACGGGTCAATAAACGCGCAGCCTCATTCACTCCGCTCCGCACACTCCGCTCAGCCTCCGCGTCGCCGGGGAGAGGGAAGCGAGGGAGGTGCGGAACGGGAGAGAGCCACGTTCACGTCCAAATGTTGATTTTAATTGGGCCTGGCCACACAGTGAGTGCTTTCTCTGCTGATTCCTTATTAGCTGCACAAACAAAGGTGGTATCTTGTACTGCCTGTGGGTGATGCTCACCGGGAGCCGATTCAGTGCCGTAGGTACCGAGCGTGCAGGCTGCGCGATGGCACCGGGGACCATGAACAATCGTGGAAGTTTGATTCTTAGTACCAGGGCATTGAATTCCTTGTACCAGGGCCCATGCTGTCCACACCACACCTTTGTGTAGAAGTGCCCGTGGGTGAATGGGACCGGGAGCGATGTGATGAGGTGTGGACGTGAGCTGGACGTGGGCACTCGTGATTAACACCTTCTATGGGCTCAACCTTTCTGCCTACCTTTCATCTCACTCAGCTCCCTTCCACGTGCTCTCATACCTCCTCTCGTCTCACTCAACTCTCACACACTCTCAGCTCCAGCCCGCAATCAATCTTCGCTAAGTGGATGGTCATTCAATCTCCTCTGCTGCCCTCTTGGTCTGCAACTCCCCTGTCTCATGTATCCGTGCTGTAGACTCCCTGCCTCCAAAGACCTTTCTCTTCTCCTCTGCCTGTTTTGCCCTGTAAGATAAACATGCCCGCTGTTTCTGCACAGGGTCTTGAGATGCGATCACATTCAGACGTTTGTGTAAATGCTCATGATGTCAGGCCTGCGACGATTGCTCTTCCGAGTGAGGCGGAGAAGCTGCGTGTGGCCGCTACGGGGGTCACACAAAGGAGCCACCGCTTGCTAGGCGCCACGAGCAGCAGCTGGGGCCCGGCCTCCGCTTGTCCCCAGAGGGGCAGCAGGGTGCGGGCCGTACCAGGCCCGTCCCATGTCCCGGTTGGCGTCGAGCCGTGTGGGTAACGGGCGCTTGAAGCCACTAATCCTGATTGTGCAGGACGGCTCTCGGTGACAGACACAGGAGGCCGGGCCAAGCCTCGCCACCTGATCCCCTAAGCCTCTACCTCCTCCCCCAATACCACTTCACACCATCCCCCCCCACCGCCACAACCACCCTGTCAAAGGGTGCGTGACTTTCAGTCCATCTGCAGTGAGAAGAGGCGGGAGGGCAAGTGAGGGTGTGAGGATTGGAGAAGGGGGGAGGGTGTGAGAGCAGTTTGGTGGCAGTGGTCCCGAGCACGCATTAATCACCATCGTCCTCCCGTGCCTCCCCGCGGATCAACCTTTTTGTCTAAACGCCGCCGCCGCTGTGTTTACACACAACTCCTGCCAGCGTGAGCTGGGCAGCAGTGGGAACAACTGCCATGGCGTCCAGTCACCTACGTGGACAGGGAGTGAGAGAGAGCAACAGTTGGAGGGAGGGAGGGAGGCGGAAGAGATAATAACGATGGAGTGAGGGAGGAGGCGGAGGAGGCAGACACCCTCAGCGTTCTGGTGCCAGCAGCCCCCACGTCTTAATTCCGTCTCGGTTTAATTACGCCTGTCAGAGGGATTTTTACGCTAGCAATTGTGTCTGGAGTTAAGATCTGCAGCTCATTTAGATAAACGTGTGCTCGGCGTCTCCTCCAAATGCCCGCGAGCTGGAAGTGGGCGTGCGGAGCGGGGACGGAGCGCCCCGCGGTGCGAGACGATGATGGGCGCCTTGTCGCGCGCTAATTACAGCGTTGGGCAGAGATGCGCGCCTCCCCGCACCGACTGCACGGGCGTCACCGGCCGCACCTGCGTTCGGCCACACGAGCCTCGTGCAGCGGCGAGCGGCCTTCGAGCGTGCAGGCGGTGCAACTGCGCCAGGGACCCACGGACCGCAGCGGCCCGGCCCAGGCGCCGGGCTACGAAGAGGGGGGGATTGACCTGGGGGCCCCGTTTCATATCCTTGCACCAGCAGGAGCCATGCCAAGCATGCTGCACGCCACTGGTCTCTGGTGCTAACTGCTGCGCAACCACTCCACCCCAACTAAATGCAAATGATATGCTAATTTTCTATTTGGGCTAAATCAAATCGCGACCCTGAATCGTGCCGAATGATCAAATAGCCTGCGGGGGCTGGTGGATGGTTCCTCATCCAACGAACCCGGCTCGGTCGCCTGCTCCCCATGGCGCCGCTTCTCAGCTGCGTGCGGCGCACACACACCGTGGCGCCGTTCCACCGCCAGTCTCCTCGTGACGGCTTTATTCGGCGCACGCCACGCTCCGCCAGGACGGCGCGTTCCGCCCGCACGCGCGGCAGGGCGTCGCACCTCTGCCGGGGTGCTCCGTGCGCACGCAGGGTGAAATCCGGCGCCGTGGAGCGTTGCTTAGCACCGACCGCATCGCTGTGCCTCGCCGGAGCGAGTCGGCGTGCCGCAAGGCACGATGGTGGCGCCAGTTGCGGTGATGGGGTCTGTGATGTCAGTCCAAATGTACGTACGTTGTATGTATGTTGAACTTCTTTTGCACTGTACGTAGCCAACCGTGCTAATCGGAGGTGTGGGAAAAGGACAAAAAACTCAACGTAAAAAGCAGTTCCTCTTAAAATCTTGCTCGTCCCTATTAGGGTGTTGTTGGAGAGTGGTGATGGTGAGAGTGAGTGTATTCAGAGGTTGATATTGGGCTTGTTAATATACGTCGATGCTATGAAACTTGTACAACGGATAATCGAGAGGAGGAGGAGGTTGTACTGCACACCTCATGGTTGTACTGCACACCTCACCGATGTGTTTCAGCACGTACCGCGTGCTATCCGGTGTGATGTCCAACATTTTTTTGCACGTGCTGGGAGCTTCTTTAGGACCGACTCTAACTCTTCAGTTCTTGCAGTAGCTCCCGGCATGTGTCGGACATCGCTCCCTCCGATGCTCGATACAACGCAGAAGACACGTCGGGGAGCTATTTCTTGTGTTGCGCCGCCTGATGGGACGTTTAATTTGACACGAGGGCAACGGTAACCGTGCGGCGTGCAGGCCTACTTCCGGCAGGGCCTGGCGCTGCAGTACCTGGGCCGGCACGCCGACGCCCTGGCCGCTTTCGCATCCGGCCTGGCCCAGGATGCCAAGAGCCTGCAGCTGCTCGTCGGGATGGTGGAGGCCGCCATGAAGTCGCCGCTCAGAGGTGCGTACCCGCACAGCGGCTCCACTTGGGCCCCAGCTGACCTCACCACGTGACCCGCGTGGTGGCCTCAGGGGGCCGCCACAGCACACCTTAATTTGACCTGCGCACAGGCAGGTGCAGGCCTCTCGCTGAGGCTAAAGTAACACGGGTGAATTGCTGGTTCCTGATGGTTCCTGATAGGTACACGAGGCCAAATGTAGCAAGCAAGCTAGCTGGCACGCCATGCCGGCTAGCTGGCACTCCACGTTCCGTGAGTAGTCTTGTCAGCGTTTGATAAATGCAGTGGCATTTAGCTCCTGATTCCCATCTTGACAAAATCACGAAATCGCATTGCCCTTGGCGTTTTGTATCGGATGTCTCCCGCTATCGGTGGTGGGAGACATCGGTGCAGTTTGGGTTGAAAAGGACATTTTCTGGTGCGTGCAGATTCCCATAATCGTGGTCGTGTGTGTGTGTGTTTTTATGGAAATCTGTACTCAGTGGGTCCAATTCATGGATGCTAACATCAGTAGCTGTGTGTAAACGTCTGCACTACGGTATGCACCGTGCATACCTTACCATAGTTGATGTTGCGTGACCAGGTGAGAAGTTCAGAGTCCCATGAGCCAGGGTGACCAGGGTCACCACAATGACAAAAATGAATCAAAACAACCCAGCAAGGAAATTACGCAAATAGGTGCTTACTAACAGCGCTTGCCCCAACAGTCTGTTAATGCTACACGGGATAACTTTTTTGTGTGTGCGTGCATGCGTGTGTGCGTCTTGTCTGTACTGCTCGCCCGCGCGTCTCAGGCTCACTGGGCCCGACGTACGAGCGGCTGCAGAAGATGCGTCTGGACAAGAGCCCCTTCGTGGTGGTGTCGGTGATCGGCCAGGAGCTGCTGGCGAGCGGCGAGCACCGTGCCTCTGTCGTGGTGCTCGAGGCGGCGCTCAGCATCGGCTCGTGCAGCCTCAAGCTGCGCGGCTCCGTCTTCTCGGCGCTGAGCTCGGCCTACTGGGCGCTGGGGCAGCCGCACAAGGCCATCGCCTACATGCAGCAGGACCTACAGGTTGCCAAGGCCCTCGGTGAGACTCCGGCCGTCGCTGCTGCTGCTGCCTCCGCTGACATGTTTTGCCGATGTTTGTTTGTGTGTATCGCGTTTTTGTGTAGCATCACTGCTTTACTCGACGCTGTATTGCACGCCGTACCATATGCCGTACCGTGTGCTGTGTACCGTGTGCTGTGTCCCGTCTGGCAGGTGACCCTGCGGGTGAGTGCCGGGCGCTGGCCAACCTCGGGGCAGCCCACTTCTCCCAGGGGAACTACAAGGAGGCCCTCAACAGCCACCGCCTGCAGCTGGTGGTCGCCATGAAGCAGAAGAACCGAGAGGTGAGGCCACAGGCCTGGCCCCCGCCTGCTGTCGGAGGCCCTTGATCCCCTGAGGATGCTCTGGCCATCGGTAGCTCTGTCTCTGCTGCCCCGGCAGCAGAGACAGAGCTGCCGTCCTTTATGTTGGTGCTGGGCCCCAGCCGCTCCCTCCCTCCCTCCCTCCACCCTCCCTCCCTCCCTCCACCTCTACCACAGTTTAGTTTTTGTTTTTGATTTTTGTAAAGCGTCTTGAGATGTGACTGTATGGTCGGCGCAACGTGTGTGAGTCACTTGACGCACTGTACAGCCTTGCAAACGAGATGTTCCATCTCAAGGGATTATCTAGGAAGAGCATTGTATTCAATACAATATAAAATATATTAATATAAATTGATGTTGTTGGTGTAGCGGGCCGACGTGTCGTATCCCTGCGGGACTGCGCACATAGCTGCACGTAGCCACGCGTAGCTCAGTTTGCGGCTCTCTCGCTCTTTCCTACCGTGCTCCGGCAGGGAGCCGCGGGGGCACTGGCGAGCCTGGGCCACGTATACGCGGCGCTGGGCGACCACCCCAACTCGCTGGCAAGCCACAAGCAGTGCGCGCTGCTGGCGCAGCAAGCGGGCGACCGCCTGGGCGAGGCGCGGCAGCTGGGCAGCATGGGCGCCGTCTACCTGGCCATGGGCGACTCGGACAGCGCCCTCGAGTGCCACGCGTGCCACTTGCGGCTGGCGCAGGAGCTGGAGCACCCGCACGAGGAGGCGCGCGCGCACAGCAACCTCGGTGCGTGCTGCTAGACCCGACTCTGTGCCTAACTCCGCATCGTGCTTTAGCTCGTGTCGTGCTCGCTGCGCCTGGCTTTCCCTTTTCACGTGCGTGCGTGTGTGCATGTGTGCATGTGTGCGTGCGTTGCGTTTGTGCTGGCACAAGCGTGGTGGTGACATCACCGCCACTTAGTTGTTGTGCGTGCGTGCGTTTTCCCGTCGCGGCAGGCGGCACGTGCCACGTGCGCCGAGACTTCTCGCGGGCACTGGAGCACCACGCCCGCGTGCTGGAGCTGGCGCAGGAGCTCGGCGACCGCGCCGGCGAGGCCCGGGCCTACGCGGGGCTGGGCCACGCCTGCCGCTGCCTGGGCGACCTGCCGCGCGCCAAGCAGCACCACCAGCGCCAGCTGGACGTCGCCATCGGCCTGCGGCACAAGGCCATGGAGGGTCGCGCCTGCTCCAACCTCGGTAGTTTGCCCGCGCGGTGCCGGCCCGCGCCCGGAGCTGCTCGCGTTCGATCGCGCGCAGAAATGCGCCGTCGATTTGGACGGCGCTACGCCACCATCTCTGCGCCATTCGGCCCGGCGGTTGGGCCACGCGTTAAGCCGGCGGTGCGGCGAGAGGCCCCGTGCGGCCGGATGCTCGCGCCAGGCAGTGCCTCGTCCGGGAAGCGCCGGTCTTATCGCCAGGAAGGAATTTCAAGTTCTTTAACAGAGGGCGTAACGCTTTATTCGGTGTCTGTGAAAATAGACCTGGTGTGCGTGCGCGCGTGGGCGTGTATGTGTTGTCTTCGGTGTGTGTTTTGGTCTTTGTGGGAAGCGCTAGTTTCTTGTTTAGCAGACTACGCTGCGAACCCTGTGACCCGCGTTCGATTGCTGCTGATGGTCAACATTAGTCACGAATATCTGAACCGGTTCTGGGCCTCCCCTAGATCGACTTGGCCTCAGATGAGTACCTTGTGTAGTGTGTAATCATCAGCACTGGGGACACAAAGGTGACGAGGTGTGATACGACCAACACCACCCCCTTGTGTGCCTTGCTGGCCTTCATAGGTGTGCGCTAACAGCAGTTGCCCCAAAAGGGTTATACGAAAGGTCTTTGTACAATATACGTGCGAGTGTTTGTGCGCACGCCAGCCCCCGGTGACACCTCTCTCTCTCTCCCTCCCCGCTCAGGAGACAATAGCGGCGCACATCACCACCCCTCAGAACCCCGGCGTCGCGGGCGTGGGGGTCGCGACCTTGGCTCGCGTCGCCAGCGCGGCACGTCCGCTGGCCGCCGTGCGGACTTTCGCTCGCTCCTCGGTTTACCAAGCGGCCTACGTGATTATGCAGTGTCTTGAGTAATTCGTACCCCGAAGCCAGCGTTTTAGCGTTACAATATTGGATTAAGGATTAGGATAAAAGTAGGCCCAGGAGTGAGCCTGCTCCTAGAGTTCTATTGGATTAGCGACTCGGGATTAAGGATTAGAACGGGGCTTGGAAATTCGCTGTTAGCATTTTCTTGCCACGCACGGCGGACGTTGAATAATTTTGCGATTTGTGGTGCAGGCGCCCCCCGCGCAGCAAGCGTCCCCAGTGGCTGCTGTAGCCGTGTGTATTTTATTATTTCATCCAGCAGAGGCACAGAGGAGCCCTGGGCCACGACTATCTGCACTGCAGCTCACGATTGCAACCGTGCTCCTCCGTGCGCACGTGTACACAGATAGCACATTGTGTTGATCCGCTGCTGGATGAGGGCTTCCCCATGACACGTGGGCCGTCAGGGTTATTTGACCGTACTTCACGACGGTGAGAAGGTCGCGGGAGTGCAGGACGACGATTTTGCTGCACTGCCCTCTGCTGTTGACGATGCCTACTGCACTGGTTTTGTGCACCGTGGTCTCGCCCATCCAAGAACTTTCCAGGTTGAATTCTGCTTAGCTTCCGAGATCTGATGAAATCGGCACATTCCGGTTGAGCCTGATTCGTACGTCGCGCTGACGTGTCGCCCCCCCCACCCACCCTCCACTCCGGCCGTGGATCCCGCGCAAATGTGTGGCCAGTGCTAGCTTACAGATGAAGCCTGTCCAGTGAATGTCATGATATTTAGTGAATAAAATAATAATCATGGGAAATCGAGTGTTGATCAATGAGCACAGGGCCAATCGCCAATCCACTGTAGTTAGAGAATGGGTGAATAGAAGCCCTGGAGCTTGAGGCTTAGGGCCGTAGTTAAGGGTGGGGGCTGGGGGAAAGGGGGGGGGGGTGTGGGGGTAGGGGTGGAGCCGTGACCCCTCCACGCCCTCGCCGGGCGCCGCGTTTCCTCCGCGCGGGACAATAGAGCCCCCCCCACCACCCCCACCCAGCAAGAGGGAAATCCTCCGCTTGGCTCCACACAGGAGCACGAACATACGGCCACAAGCAGACACGCAGACACACGGACGCACATGCTAACAAACACGCAGGCACATACTAAATACATCCCCCTGAAATGTCTGTACACGCACATTTTGAAGCAAACATATCGATAAAGCAATCAGTGTCATTCGATGAGAAGATTAATCTTTTCGAAACCCATCCAGGGCAGTGCAACCATGATCACAGTGCTACCTGTGAGATCCTTTCAATTAATATTTGACCCGTGTTCCACAGAGTCGGGGAGGCAGCACCTTTCCACCCACCCCACTACAGAGAGCAGTGATCATCGAACGACAATGAAACCAATATATATATTTTCGATTTTTGTGCAGTCATTAGTGAAAGGGCTGAGAACATCAACTCAATGCACCCGAGTACCCGGTTTAATGATAGGCGGCCGAAACCGAGATTTGAACCCAGGATCTCAGTGGTTCGAACTCGGCACTGTGGCCTCTGAGCCACTGGATCAAGAGTCGAGTGGTTCCACAGCGACGGGTCCGACCACTCCGATCTCCGGTACCCCATCCGTGCCGCCACCCTCTCACTTCCCACCGTTCCCCCGGCTTCCCCGCCCTCCAGGGATAATCCACCAAATGATGGGCGACTACCAGACGGCGCTGAAGCTGCACAAGGCGCACCTGCTGATCGCCAAGCGCGTGGGCGACTACGCAGGGCAGGGCCGCGCCTACGGCAACATGGGCAATGCGTTCAGCGCGCTGGGGCTGCACGAGCGCGCCGTGGCCTACCATCAGCTGGAGCTGCGCATCTCCACGGAGGTGGGCGAGCGCGCGTCGCAGGCCTCCACGCACGGGAACCTGGCGGTGGTGTACCAGGCGCTGGGCGCGCACGACAAGGCGCTGGCGCACTACTCGCGCCACCTGTGCCTGGCGCGCGAGCTGGGCGACGGGGCGGCGCAAGCACGCGCCCTCAGCAACCTCGCCAACTTCCACGCGTCGCGCGGCGACTTCGCTCGCGCCGTGCCCTACTACGAGCAGTACCTGCGCGTGGCGGCGGGAGAGCTGCAGGACCTGGAGGGCGAGGCGCGCGCCAGCCACAACCTCGGCTACGCGCACTACCGCCTCGGCGAGCACCGGCAGGCGGCGCGTTGCTACCGCCAGCACCTGGGCCTGGCCGCCGACCTGCGCGACAAGCCGGGCCGGGCGCGCGCGCTGTGCAATCTGGGGTTGGCGCACGCCGCGCTGGGCGAGGTGGCGCAGGCCGAGGACTGCCAGCGCCGCTTCCTGGAGTTGGCGACGGAGCTGGGGGACGAGCGGGCGCGGTTCCGCGCGCTGGGGAACCTGGCCGACGTGCTGCTGTGCCGCGGAGACGCGGACGGCGCCGCCGAGCTCTACCAGAAGCAGCTGGAGGCGGCGCGGGCGGCTCGCGACCGCGGCCTGGAGGCGGCGGCGCACGCAGGGCTGGGCGCGGCGCACGGATCGGTGCGGCGCTACGACAAGTCGTTGGCGTGCCACACGCAGGAGCTGGAGGCGTGCCAGGAGATGGGGGACGTGGCCGGGGAGTGCCGCGCGCAGGGGCACCTGGGCGCCGTCTACACGGCGCTGGGGCGCTACACCGTCGCCTTCAAGTGCTTCGACGAGCAGCTGGAGCTGGCGCAGCGCCTGAAGGACGCCGGCGTGGAGGCGCGGGCCTACGGCAACCTGGGCATCACCAAGATGAACATGGGGCTGTTTGAAGACGCCGTCGGATACTTTGAGCAGCAGCTGGGCTCCCTGCAGCAGCTGCCCGAGGGCTCGGAGGCGCTGGCGGAGCGCGGGCGCGCGTACGGGAACCTCGGCGACTGCTACGAGGCGCTCGGGGACTTCGAGGAGGCGGCTAAGTACCAGGAGCAGGCGCTGGGGGCGGCGCGCGGCGCCGGCCGCACCCAGGAGCAGGCGAGGGCCTACCGGGGCCTGGCCAATGCGCACAGGTGGTGCCCGCACTTCGCTACGATAATAACAATAATCTATGTTCATATGTTGAACTTCTTTCGCACCATACATAGCCAATCGTGCTAACTGCGAGGATCGGAAAACAATCGACGGCTTGTGGGCGAGCAGGGCTTCATCCAGCAATGGGTTGATGAAGGATGGTGTAGTGTCTGTGATGATATGCTCGTCTAAGGGTTATAGGGGTTATGGAGAGGTTATACAAAGGGTTAGGACAACACGGCTATGGCTACAGTGCAGATGATAATGGTGTTGATGACGCGACATTTTCATCGCAGATGTCGCCGTCCACTAGATTCCCTTCAGGAGCTAAAACCTTCTCTGCACCTGACCAGGGTGCAGGAAAAAGCAGTGAGGTTTACGGGTAGCGGGCTCGGAAAGTGAGGTGGCAGGCGCGGGCACCTAGTTCCGTGGAACAAACCGGAATTTCTACGGCGTACGGGGTTCAGAACCTGATTAGAGCCGTGGGCTCGGTCTCTCGCAGGGCGATGGGGAACCTGCAGCAAGCGCTCGTGTGTCTGGAGAAGCGGCTGGTGGCGGCGCACGAGGCTGGCGACGCGGGAGGCTGCGCCCAGGCCTACGGGGAGCTGGGCGCGCTGCACGCCACGCTGGCGCGCTGGGACGCGGCCCTGTCCTGCCTGCAGCGCCAGCTCAGCGCAGCGCGACAAGCGCAGGCAGGAACCCCGCCGCCGGCCACCGCGCCGCCCGCACGGAGAACCAACCACACCCGCACAAACATCACCACCACCGCTACTACCGGCACCATCGCCTTCACTGCCACCACCACAACCGCCGCCACTACCACCGTGTGCTTATCTACACACTAAATCAAAGTACTCTCTCGACCAGACTGTCTCATCCAAACTGTGTTTAACCGCCACATTGCAGGTTACAGCAGCATTCACCCACTCATCCACTCACCCATCCACTCACCCATCCACTCACTCATCCACTCACTCATCCACTCACACTTACTCACTCATCCACTCACTCATTCACTTACCTACCCACTCACACTTACACTCGCTCATCCACTCACCCACCCATTCACACTTACACTCACTCATCCACTCACCCACCCACTCACACTTACTCACTCACCACACTGCAAGTCACAATGCTTCTTCTGCTTCTCCCCTCCCACTGCTCGACTGCTCAATACAAGAAGAGTAGAAACTCTTTACTACTTTAATGGTGCTCTTTGTTGCTGCCCATTTCAAACACGCGTTTGTCCTCGGAGGAATTGAATTGGCGACAATAACGATGTCACGCTTAGTGACATCATCAATAGCAGAGGCACGTACATGCTGCGTGATGTCATCACATTGACTGAGAAGGCTTACCCATTGTCGCTGGGTTTTATCGGAAAGTTTCTGAAAACCCTTTCACCAATGTGGCTGGTTTTCTTTCGGGCAAGTCCCTAATAGCAACACAACTCTACACTAAAATTAAAGTTATTTCGGTTCATCTTTATGAGAGGTATCGTGAACCCGTTGTTACGGACAGAGGGCCACCGTGAATGCATCGAGGCCTTCGGCTGGAGATGTAGTCTTCACCGGCCCCCCCCCCCCCTCTTCACTTGCGTTAGGACGCGGCCATGGAGCTGGAGGCGAGCTCGGCGCTAGGCTCGGTGTGCCGCCGCATGGGCGACCACGCGGCCTCCCTGTCGCACCACGAGCGTGAGCTGGCGCTGGCAGACCGCGCCGGCGACCCGCGAGCGCGGGCTCGGGCGCACGGCAACCTGGGCCTGACGTGCGAGGCGCTGGGCGACGCGCGGAGGGCTGTGGGCCACCACGAGCGCCAGCTGAGCACGGCGGCGCAGGCGCACGACGGGGGCGCCGACAGGGCGCAGGCCTACCTGGGGCTGGGCCGCACGCACCATGCGCTGCGGCAACACGCGCAGGCCGTCAGCTACCTGAAGGAAGGTGAGCGCCGCCAGACGTCACGACGCGCTCGCGATTGTCGTGCCGGCGTGCCTCCGCTGCGTCTCGCCGCTTCCCGCGTCTACGCGTGGCGATGCTGTGAAGCTGTGAATAGACGAGGGGCAGGTGTGGGTGTGTCTGGGTGTGTGTAGTTAGGGGGGTGTACTTATGGATTTGTGTGTGTGTAGATGGGAGGGTGTGTGGTCATGCGTGCGTGTGCAAGTGACTGAGCGGAGAATGTGAAACCAACGGGGATTTCGCACAGGACTGAAGCTGGTGGAGCAGCTGTCGCGGCGTGAGGAGGAGGCCCGGATCCGGCACTGCCTGGGGCTGGCGCTGTGGGCCGGGGGGAACCTGGAGGAGGCACAACACCAGGTGAGTGTCACACTCACCACACGTACTCATCACAGCCACAACCACAAACCGCATGTACCATTCCATCCCATTGACCCAAATACCGTACCTGCATACCCCTCCACCCACCGCACCCTCGCCACCGTACCTACCGCCCGCACGGCACGTGCCCCCCACAGCTGTACGCGGCGTGCACGCTGCTCGAGGGGCTGTGCCGGGGCGCATCGTTTCCGAGCGGCGGCGGCGGCGGCGACACGCAGCTTTCGCTGTCCCAGCTGCATGCGTCCAGCTGCCAGGCGCTGCAGCGCGTGCTCGTCACACTCGGTGAGGACCACGTGGACCCCCCCCCCCCCCCAACCTACCTCGTTCAAGAGGCTCCGAGAATTCTCTCGCAGGCGCTGTCCATTTTGTGAGCCGAGCCACGTTACGTGCCGAGCCCCGCGTCTGCGGTTCTGCGCCTCGGATTCAAGAATGTTGTGTGCCGCGCGTTCAACATCGCACGTGACGCACGCGGCGTGACAAGTCGTGTTTTTGTGCCGTGGGTGTTGCGCTCTACCACCGTGCGCAGTCGAGTGCAGTGTGCGCCATTGCGTTGTGCCGTGCGTTTTTCTGCCGTGCGCGTTGTGCCGAATCTCACGGCCGCTCTGCGTCGTGCGTCGCCCAGGCCGTCCCGGGGAGGCGCTGGTGGCGGCCGAGCGAGCGCGGTCGCTCGCAGAGCGCCAGGGACAGGGGTCGGGGGGACCCCGCTCGGCAGCCCCCTCGTCCGCTTCCCCCGGGACCCCTAGGTCCCCCGGGACCCCCGAGCGGGGCGAGCGGCCCGGGTCGCCGGTGCCACCGCCGCCCTCCCTGGAGCGGCTGCTGGAGGTCGTGGGGACGCAACGCGGCCTCGTGCTCTACTTCTCCATCGCCGCCGGCTTCCTCTACAGCTGGCTGCTCGCACCCAACGAAGGTGAGGAGCCTCGCTGCTGTTGCTGCTGCTTATCAGTGCTCACCAGTCCTCACCATTCCTCATCGGTCTTCACCAGTCCTCACCACTAGACCTCGGGTCAATTACAGCAGCAAAATTCTTAGTTGTGATTACAATTGCATTTCATACCAATTGTAATTGACCCCGGGACTATTGACCATTCCTCACCGCACATCACCGTGACTTAACCGGCCAGTCTGTCACGTTCGACACGGTGCCGCTGCGAATTCCCTCCGAGGGGAAAGCGCGGCACCGAAGCGTGGTGCTGGCGTTTGTAATCGAGCCGTGCGGCGCGTGGAGCGCGAAGCGTTGGCGGTGTCTCGTTAGGGAGCGGTGCTCGGCTCCGGGTGCTCTGCCCTGCACCCTCCCTCCTCAAACCCTCCCTCCCCCACCCTCCCAAATCTCTAGCAGCTGTGGGAGCGATTAGACGTTTGTCTTCTAGACTTTAGCCGCGGAGGCCTGCGCAGGTGCCGAAGCGAAACACGTACGTTGTTGGCTTTGGGTGTATAACGGCGCCCGCCGCCGCCACCTCCCCTTCTGTTTGCGTTTCCCAGGCGTGCGGAGGTTCCACGCCAGCCGGCTCGTGCAAGAGGCGGAGGGGGAGGCCCTGGGTCCGGCCGATGCCGGCGGCCTCCAGAGCCAGTGCGGCGTCGCACTGGAGGGTCACGTGACTGCCGCGCGAGTTGCGCTCGGAGCGGAGGCGGGGGCGGCCAGGTGCGGGGAGAGCACACGTGGAGAACGCCACGCACGGCACACGCACGCCGCACACGCGCCCGCACACAGACACCGCACACACCACATACAAGCTGAACACACTCGTCGGAGGAGCTCCGTGGTTTCTCGCATTCGGGGTGGGGGTGGCGGGAGGTGCCGGCAGGACGGTTGTGCGCAGGTGTTTGGCGTTAGCCGTGAAGCGTTCCGCTCGCTGCGGGGGCCACGACGCCACCCGAGCCTCCCTGTATGATGGGCGTGCGTGTGTGCGATAGTGCGAGAGCGTTTGCGTGTGTTTGTGAGAGCGTCCTTGTGTCTTTATGGGGTGTGTGTGTATGATTGTTTGTTATGTGTGCACGTGTGCATCTTTATCTTTATATGCTTCTGCACGTGTGCGCTGGTGGCGAGTGGTGGTACAGCGGTTAGCGACCCGGGCTCGATTACCCACCCACGGCAAATGATATGCATCTGAAATGGTCCTGGGCCTCCCCAAGATCGACATTAACACTGGAGAGACAAAGGTAGCTTTGTTTTGCTTAACAGTACTTGCCACAACACTCTGCAAAAGGCTACACGGGGGATCTTTGTCCGTGTGTGTGCGTGGCGAAGCAGGTCTGGGGGTGACAGTGAGAGTGCAAGCGAGGTCGGGGACACCCCAGACGAGGAGTCGGGCCCCCCACGGTCTCTCGCGCAGGACTCCACCCTCAGCAGGTGGTTGTCACCCCCCCCCCCCCCCCGGTGCGGTGTTTTTAACATGCAGGCTCGCGTGGTGACAGCGTGTCCTCCAGGTCATCGCCGCTGATGCCACCACCCATCGCCATTGCTTCCGTCCTTCACCACCACCACGTGGCTTCCCCTTGGTCACGGACCTCTGAGGGCCATTTCATTTCGTGGTGGCGAGATGTGAACTCCCTCGCCTGGTATGCAGGAGGTCATGGGTTTGATCCCGACCTTGACGCCTATATATTGTAGTTTGCGTGTTCTCCCCGTGGTTGCGTGGATTTTTCTCGGTCCTCTGCTTTTTCCCTCCGCATTTAGAATCAACAAGCATTTAGAGTATTTGTCTGCTATAAATTTACACGCGATAAGCCACTTCGTTGCCCGGGCAGCCTCTCCTCCTCCATCCCCCATATGCGCCCCACCCCTCACCAACCGGCCGTGATGTCCTCCCATGAGTCCGAACCAACCAGCGTCCGCACGCGACTCTACAGCCGCCACCCGCATGCGTGCGAGACCTGCCGCTTGCGCGCACGGTCGCCGAGACCATCGGCAACGTTCGCCCTGACCTTCGCCCCGACCCTTCGCAGGCGGGGCCGGGTCGGCACGAGGGCGAGCGCTGCAAGCAGGAGCCTGAGCCCCCGAACTTCGGCCACGCCGCCCTCCAGTCCCCCCGGGCCGCCCTCGCCCCCCGGCGCTTCCGCGGGCCCCAGCAGCCCCGCGCTGAGCCCCCCGAGCGGCACGAGGAGCCGCTCGGTCGGGCGGGCGGCAACGGCGGCAGGGAGCAAGCGTGGCGACAAGGACCCGCTGGGGTTCCTCTACGACCTTCTCGTCGCCCCCATGGAAGGGGTGAGCAGGGGGGCGGCCGCGCCAATCTCGATAACGAACCTCAAAATTGTACCGATCACTCGACCGATCACATGACGCGAAAATAGTTGTAATAAAACAAGCACCTCCGTTTCCACACGTGTGCCGGTGGACGGGAGGTGACGGGCGGCGCTTGCCGCGTCCCGTGCACGGCCTGCGCCCGCGTGATTGCGGGTCGCCCTGGCTAAAGGTGGCCCTCCCCGACCCCGCGTGCGTCAGATGCTGGGCACGGAGGAGCCCCGGGAGCTCGTGCTGGTGCTGGACGCGGAGCTGTTCCTGGTGCCGTTTGCACTCCTCCGTTCGGACGCGTGCGCCGAGTTCCTGTGCGAGCGCTTCAGCCTGCGCGCCGTGCCCTCGCTCGGAGCCCTCACCCACCGCCCCCAGGTGCGCCACCACCGCCATCACCGCGCTAGTGGCAGCGCTATCCCTGTGTGACCCTATCCCTTATTGCATCCAGCAGCAGTAACTGTAACGCAGTCCGAACCCTAACCGTTATCCTTATCCTCGACTTAAACAAAACAGATGTGACCCTGCGTTAGCAGCGGTGCACAGGGTATAAAGAAGAGCCCTTAGCCCGAGCATCGTCTGCCACGTCGTTTCCCTTTGAGAGCAGCGCGATTGACGAGTTGAGTTTCTCTAACCGTCTGCGTTTTCCGCTACGTCACCAGGGCTCCGCCGCAGCGTCGGTCTCGGCGCTGGTCGTGGGCGACCCGTGGCTGCCGAGCTCGGCGCGAGCTCGCTGGCGCTGGCCGCCGCTGCCGTCGGCGCGGGACCAGGCCTCGGTCGTAGCGCACGCGGCCGGGTGCCGGCCCCTCGTGGGCCACGCCGCCACCAAGTCCGCCGTGCTGGACGCGGCGTGCACCGCGGAGTGCCTCCACTTCTGCACGCACGTCTCCTGGAAGCTCTCCGCGCTGGTGCTCGGCCCCCGGGCATGCCAAGAGTCCGGTGCCACCGCCGCCGCCGGTCCCGACGGAGGCCAGAGGAGCGGCGCCCGCGCGGCCGGCGCCGGGAACGCGTCGGGAGCCGCGGCAGGAGCCGGCGGACCGGACTCGGCCGAGGGAGAAGCGGGCGACGTTGATGGTGCTCACGAGGCCCCCGTGCCGGGCACCGTCTATGGGGGGGGGTCCCTGGATGAGCTGGCGCCGGACGCCCCCCCCGCCGGGGAGTTCCTCCTCACTGCCAGCGAGGTGGCGTCGCTGCGTTTGTCGGCGCGGCTCGTGGTGCTCGGCTGGCCGCGCGAGTGCTGCGCTCCACTGGTTCCCGGCGGCTTCGTGGGCCTGGCCAAGGCTTTCCTGGCGGCCGGGTGCCGGTGTGTGCTGGCCAGCCTGTGGCCCACGCCGGCCGCAGCTGCCCGAGTCCTGATGCAGGCCTTCTACTCTGCGCTCATGGAGGGCGTGCGGGCGAGCGTGGCGCTGAAGGACGCCATGCGGGCCGTGCAGGCACACGCGCAGTTCTCGCACCCGTCCAACTGGGCCGGTGAGCTCCCTCCTCTCCCTGCTCCACCCGCCGCGAGTCACGTTAGCGCCGCGTGGGGTTCAGGGATGGACGTGCTGGTGACTCGCGACCAGAACGTCGGTCACATGGGGGCCCCAATGGCAGTTCCGGTCATGTGTCAGCTGGTGGATGCAAACTCTGGTCATCCTCAGAGCAGCGGCTTTTAGCTAACCGTCGAACAAAGACGGTCAGTGCATCGCGCGCTTTCAGATGCGCTTCTGCGGCCGTCTGGAACGCTCTTCCTTCCTTTCTTACAAACTCCTGTTTGTGTTTAGTTTGGTTTCCTTCCCCCGCACCTCTGATTAGCATGGTCAACTATGTGCGGTGCGAAAGACGTTTAACTTACATGTACAAGGAGGTGTGTTTGGTTGTGGTGGTGAAAATTAATTTGGTTTTATCGTATTTACTGTTGCATCTCCTCCTCCATCCCTCCCTGTGCCCCATCCCACGGAGCAGGGTTTGTCCTCATCGGTCGGGACGTGCGCCTCAACTCCCCGTCGGCGCTGGTGAGGAGGGCGCTGCTGCAGATCTTACAGTGGCCGGACCGCGCGCGCGACGCCCTGCGGGTCCTGCTGCATCTGGTGGGAGCAGCTGCCTGCACCACCACTCCACTCTCCCAACACACTCGCAAAGACAACGATCCCCCACCTATCCTGAACAGACCATTGGACGGGCGCCACCGTCCGGCATCGTGGCGCTGCCGCAGTGCCGCGCGCCGTAATTGGGGCGTTTCTCTCCGTGCCCGCCAGCGCAGGTGGAGAAGTCCTTGCAGAGGATACAGCGCGGCCAGGCCAACTCGATGTACACGTCGCAGCAGAGCGTGGAGAACAAGGTGCACGGTGTGGCTGGCTGGCAGGGCCTGCTCACCGCCATCGGCTTCCGCCTCGAGCCGCCGGCCAACGGCCTCCCCGCGGCCGTCTTCTTCCCGCTGGCCGACCCCGCGCACCGCCTGCAGCACTGCAGTACCACCATGCAGGCGCTGCTCGGTACGGGAAAGCGCCTGGGGTTGGGTGGGGTGGCGGGGGGGGGCGGCCGCTGAGGGCAGGATGGCCCAGGAAGTGAGGGAGCAGAGGATGAACAAGGAGGAGCCCAGAGGGACCGGGAGGGATGGGCAGGGGGAGCGTTCGGTAGATACGGGCTGAGTGGGCTCAAGATGGATTGGGTGGGAGGGTCTGTGAGGGAATGGATGGGAGAGCTCAAGTGGAATTGGCTGATGGGAGGGATCAGCAGGCATCAGGCCAGGCTAGGACGGACCGTGCAGCAGTGCACGCGTGTGACGAGGTCTCCTGCTCCCTCCTCACCCCGCAGGTCTCCCTCACCCCGCGTTCTACGCCCTCTCCAAGCTCATCCGGACGGAGGAGGTGGGGGAGCAGCTGGTGCAGCTGGTGAGTGACCGCGGGCCCCGGCCTCGCCGACGACAGGCCCACGTCGGGCGTCGCGGCCTCGATGTTCCCGCTCGGCTCCGGACGCCGCACGGTGAAACGGAGCGGGAGAGTGTAGACAAGCGTGGTACAAGCAGCGCTGCTGCCGGCGCTAAACGGCTGCACGGCTTTTGTTCAAGGGCGGCTCGACCAGCAGAGACCAGCGGCAGCAACAAGTACAGAGAGAGAAAGAGCGTGGCGCTCAAATGCAATTAGGGATTTTGTCATTCGGCATGATGTCTGGCGGAATAGTTCGGTTCAGTTCCCGCGGTACGTCCTGAGAAAGACGCGCAGTGGCTTAGAAGAGAGTTCTTGAGAGGACAGAGATGATGCCAAGATGGATCCTGGATAGAATATGCTAAAGAAGGTCAGGGCAGTGAGATATTGTAGAGGGAGACGGAGGGTGAGGAAGAGGATGCGGTGGAAAGGGATACGAATGCAGTGGATGTGAGGAGTGGGACTTGTGGCTGAAGGAAAAGGTGGGGGGGAGGTGGTGGTGGGCTGGGCTGTCACGACCCCGTCTCCGTCCCTGGTCCGGATTCCACCCCTCGCCATGGTCGAGCGATGTGGCCCAAGCTGCGACCACGAGCTGCGTCGGCCGATCCTGAAACCCGCTGCGCTGTCTTGTGTCGTCCCCTCGGTCCCGTCACACCCTCCCTCGCACCTACCTCCACCACCACCACCACCCCCTCCACTACCCTCACGCTGTCAAGGCGGCTGTAGCTATCGTTGCACTGGTGAGTCTGTTGTCTCTCCCCAGCATACCCGTGTAGATGAGCCCCTCCCACCGCCGCCCCGGCTTAGCCCTCCCAGACCTCCCCCCCACCCCCACACCCTCGGAGACCTCGACGCGCGCGTGAACGAGGGGGTGCGGTCCTCTCGCGTAGATCTCGGCGACCCTGCGGTAAAACGCAGACGCCGGCGATGGGTCTGGAGGGGCTGCCCCACGAGTCCTCCCCACCCTCCCGCTCCCCGTTCGCCTCCCGGCTCTAACAGAGGTTGTGACCCAGCCCTCTTGCCCGGGACGTCCCATGTGGTAACTGGGGCCGCATGCAGCAGCGTGGGCCCACGTTTCGTTCACCTGCATACCTGTGCGTTGTGTACCTGGACGGCGTGTCACCTCTGCACATGCTGGTTACCCGTGGCCGTGTCACCGCTTCACCTTCGTAACTGACACCGCTGCGTCTCCCTGCATGCCGCTTGCTTAGATGGGCTATCGGTAGTGTTAGAACGCGTTCGCTAGCGGGCTCTGTCGGAGGTGCGGGCGCTGACCCCGCCGTTACCGGTGCCGCGGTCTCCGCCAGCTCTTCGGTCGTGTGGCGACGAAGGTTGCCGTAGCGCCGGCCCTGGGTGGGGCCCGGAACCGGCTCGGAACGTGGCACCCTGCCACGCCCGTTAAACTTCAGGCAATGTTTGGGAGGTGCCGAACGGTTGAGGACGGAACAAACGAAGTGTTGGGCCCTCCCGTGAGGCCGCAGCCGAGACGTGCTCCGCTCGTCCCCTCGCAGATTCGGCACACGCTCAAGCAGCTCTCGGACGGCGCAGAGCAGGACGGCGGCGGTGCCGGCGGTGGAGGCGGCACCGGCAAGACAGGGGGCGGCGCTGACACTCCGGCGGGGGGCACGGCGACTCAACCCGCCAGGGTCGCCGTGAAGCTGTGGCAGACGCCGGGGTGCCACGAGCTGCTCGCTGCACTCGGTACGGCAACACCGGTCACGTGGCAGGGTGCCGTGATCGTGCATGCTGTGTGGGTCACTGGGTGTGTGGGTCACTGGGTGTGTGGGGTCACTGTGGGTGTGTCTGTGGGTCACTATGAGCTATGTGGGTTACCTTGGGCAAGTGGATGACTTGCCTTATTGTTGTTAAGCATTGGGAATTCTACACCAAGCGTTAATTAATTATTTAATAAAAACCAAGAGACGTGACAACATTCGCCAAGACTGACAGTGCTAAACAGCCTGGGCACCCTTCCAATGGGACACCAAAGGGTTATGGCAGTTATTCTGAGGTTGGGGGGGAGCAGAGGAGGGAGTGTCGCTTGTGTGAACGCTGCTCTCATGTGCACACGCTTGCTGTATGTATGTTGAACTTCTTTTGCACCGTATGCCGCCAACTGTGCTAATCGGAAGTGTGTGGGTCACTGTGGGGCCCGAGTAGGCTTCGACCTGTGCGAGGTCGGCAAGGAGGAGGTTCTGCTGAGGACGAGTGGCCAGGCATCACGCCGGTGTCTGCAGTTCTCGCTGCACTCGCTGCTCGCCTTGTTCGGTGAGCGACCGCGCCCGCTCTCGCCCGCTCACTCACCCGCTCACTCGCCCGCTCGCCCACCCACCCGCTCACTCGCCCGCTCACGCACCCGCCCGCTCGCCCGCTCGCCCGCTCGCCCGCTCACTTACCCGCTCACCCGCGTCTAACACGCACCGATTGTCGGTGCGGAATTCTAAACAATTATAGCTGAGAGAATGTGGATAGCAGGCAATTGAAGGGACCTCAAGAGTCGTTCTGTGGTGTTCTCTAACACAGGAGGATGTCACACTGCTCTTTGCCAGAGTTCCCAATGGAAATATTTTCATCTCATCACAACATAGATTGGGAAAAAGTTATGAAAAAAAATAACAATCCCCCCTTTACTCTGCAGACTGCTCGGAGACAGCCAAGCACTCGAACCTGGAGGGCGCCAGCTCTTTGGAGAGTCTCGTGTCGTCAGAACAGACGGGCATGGGGCCCCTGTCACTGCGAGGGTGCGATCCGGACGACCCGGGCCCCCCATACGGCTACGGCCACATGCTGCCGGCCTCCGACACCATCTCCGTCTACAGCCTGAGCTCCATTGCCTCGGCCCCCAGCTGCTCCTCCTTCTGCGGGGACGACGCGGGCGGCAGCGGCCGGGCGCTGCCACCGCGCTCGCTGTTTGGCCACGGCAGGCCCAAGTCGCTGTGCTCGCACCCGCTGCTGTCCCCGAGGCTGTCCCATGGGCGCGCGTTCGCAGACACGTCGGCCAACGGCGAGCAGGACTGCGACGCCTTCTCGGAGATGAGCAGCGAGATGCTGGACTCGCTGCCCGGCAGCCCCGGCTCGCCACTCTCCCCCGCGTCGTACGTGCCCGGCACGGGCTCGCTGCAGCGTGGCAGCTGCAGGCGCGAGCACGGCTTCGCCAGCGCGCCCATGTCGCCCCGGAACGGTTTCGCGCCCAGCGCCAACTCCCCATTCCGCCGCGTGCAGGGGGCCACCCTTGGGGGTACTCTAGGGGGTACTTTGGGGGGCGGCCGCAGGAAGCTGTCGGCGGGAAACTCGTTGGACGCGGCGGATTCGGACGCGTCCGGCACGGAGATGAGCGGCGCCGGTTCGGGCTCCCGCGAGCCCAGGCAGCAGCAGCAGCACAAGCGGATGAACCCTGGCGAGCTGGCGCAGAAGATCCTGGCCGAGACGCAGACTCACATGGTGGCTGTGGGGCGGCTGCAGAGGAGCGCCGCGAGCCTCCCGGGCCCCACCAGCCCCCGCAGCAAGAGCCTGTCGGCGCCCCGGGGCCCCTCGAGCATCGTGACGTCGGAGACAAGCGCCTTCTCCAAACTGGGCGGCTCCGCCACCTTGCGGAACCTGTCGTCGGGCGCCTCCCTGCCGAGGAGTCCCGCCAAACCGAAGCCCCCCGAGCGCGTGTCGTCGCTGCAGAAAATCAACAGCCTGACGCAGCTCAATAAGAACCTGTCGTCCATGTTCGCTCATTTCCACGGCGCGGCTGAAAGGAATCCGCCGGTTCCCACGCAGGGGGCCGGCGGACCGGCGGGGACCGACGGGCGCCTGGCCGAGTTGCACCGGATGAAACTGAAATATCCGAGCTCCCCGTACAGCGCCCACATCTCCAACTCGCCCAAGAACGTGTCGCCCGGCGCGGGCTCAGGGGCGCGGCCCTCGCCCTGCAGCTCCGACGCGACGCCGTCGCCGTCCCACTCGGCGCCGGGCTCGCTGTGCGTGAGCCCTGCCAAGGCCGTGCCACCGCCGCCGCTCGGCCTCGTGGACAACAAGGTGCAGGCCGTGCACAACCTCAAGACGTTCCACTCGAGCTCGTGGCCCTGCCAGCAGCCGGGCCCCTGCCCGCCCGGTGTCGACGCGAAGGCGCGGAGACTGGCCGCGGGAGCCGCCCGGCACGCCGGGCCCGCGGGAGCCGAGGGGCCCCCCGCGTCCCCGCCGCACGACGCGCCCCGCCGCATCCCCAACTCCAAGAGCGACACGCAGCTCCTCGCGGGACTCGCGGCGCGGGGCGTCCCACCCTCCGGCCCCGAGGAGGTCGGGGGCACCCCCACGGATACCAAAAAGTGCTCGCTGAAACCCCCTCTGGTGGGACGGTCGGGCCCCTTCAAGACGCTCACGGGCTCGGGTATGCCGTTCCGGCGCGGACAGAACGCGCTGCCGGGGAAGCGGTTCTTCCCCGCGTCCAAATGCTGAGGCGGCGCAGAGGAGGAGGAGGCTACGGTTTGGTGGAGGTGTTGGGCCCTCTCCACGTGAGGAGCTTGGTAACGGGACGGACGGCGCATTGCTCCGCTGTTCACTTCCACGGTGCTGCGCTGCCAGCAGAGGGGAGGGCCGCGGTTTGATGCCTCTTGGCGTCGTCGCTGAGCGAAGCGTGGCTTGTTTATGCCAAAATGAACTCTGCTGTCAACATGTCTGAACGGTCATGGTTTTTAAAAGGCCCTAAATACTTCGTTGTGTCTAGGAGACTCCCCTGAGGTTGGTACACATCCTGTTATGGTAGTATATAAATCCTCATGGGCACAATTATGCCCCCACCCGTGGGCATCTGCGTTTCCATACACAGCCCTTGGGTGCAGACCAGAAACCACTTACAGTGCCAAAACTTTAATGGTGCAGATCTTAACAAAAAAAATTATTACATGATGACCTTTTCAAATGACGCGGTTGTCAAACTGTAATTTGGTTTTATTGGCCATTAAATTAAATTGGTGCCATTAAAGTTGTGCCACTTCACGTGGCACGGACCGACGTCTTCTCTTCCCCATGGATTAATGGCAGCACAAGAAGCAATCCGCTCTACAATTTTATAAAAGTGAATTACCAATAACAATGTGCCGAAATTATGCCTGCCATCGTAGACGGGACGTCCTGCCAGCACAATCATCGTCCCTCGTCCCCCGTCCCCCATTCGGAGTGAGAGTAACGACCGGTCGCACCGAGGGCTCCGCACCAGCGCGCCGTGTCGGAGTGGTGGCGCCAGCTCGGGTGCAGTTGGCGCGACGTGGCGGACCCTTCGGCTCCACTACGCGCTCCTCCTCCCCCTCTTCTCTTTGTATTTATGAATTTCAAGCGGACTCCGCTGGCGCGCCTCAATCAGTATTTAATTTGTTTACGTGTACTATACGTCTTTTATATATATAAAATAATGTACACACGATGCGCCGTCTGTGGAGAGAGCTTTTGTCGATGGTCACCGCGGCATCAAAGACGCGGGGAGCAACTCGTGCGCTCGGCGGCGAAGCAACGAACATCGGCAGCACTCCGAACGTAGACGACGTCCCCGGCACCTGCCGTGTGTTTGCACGGCATATGACTCCAGTGAATTGCAAGCGATGTGGATTTCTTGCTGTTCGTTTCCCAGTTACACTCGCTGGCCTACTCTGTAGTCAACAACGATGACATAATCAACATTAACACTCTTTTTCCACATTGTGACAACCCGCAGTGTTTAGCAGCCTCTCGCTTCTGGTGTCGACAGCCCTCGTCACGCGCGGCTCACCCCCCACCCCTCCTCCTTCCCCGTCTTGATACACACTCGGGCAGCTGCTAGATTAGCAGCCCCATGAGTCACTCATCTCGCATGAACTCGACGAGTGGCCCAGACATCAACGCAATTAGCCAAGCGCGTGGGGCTGCACACGATCAAACTATTACACGTTTTATTTTACCAGTTGAAACCCACGTAGCTATATCGCTCTTTTTTCAAAAGCGACCTGGCCACAAATGATAGCTCAACGAAGTGGGCATTTATTTCAGCCAAATACCCTCAACGCATTTTTCTAAATGTGGAGGAAAAAACCGGAGGACCCGGAGAAAAATCCACACGATCACCGGGAGAGTGACACGCAAACTCCCAATATAGAGCCGCAGCAGGCGTCAGGGTTCGGATCGAACCCATTGCTGCATACCAGGCGAGGGAGTTAACATCTCGCAACACGAAACCTTCACGAACTGCCCTGCACCTCTGCTCTTAGGCCTTCTCTTACCCCCTTGATCACCGGACTCGTGGAGGCCGCTCCAGTGTTTGTCTCGGTTATGGGCTCCAACCTCATTCTGCACACATCCCAACCAGTACAACCGTTTTTGCATTTTTATATCGACGACAGACTTAGGTTTAGTGTGTTGACGCCGCCTCGATGGACGTACCACGCTCGGGAAGCGTGCTTTGTGTTCATAGTCTAGTTCAAGTCTAGATCTAAACGGGCTCTCGAAGTCAAGAAGTGCTTGTATGTTCAGAACTTGAACGTCTTCCCCATGGCAAATCCCACGCCGTACGGGTCGTGGGGTTATTGAACCACGCACTTCACGCTGGGCAGTGCGGGTGGTGTCTGTCTATATAATTCCGAGTTTCCGTCCGTCACGCTCTGGGATAGATGCATGAAACAACAAATCCCTTGCCGAGAACGACTATACGAGGGGGAGACACATGGGGTACTGTAAACAACACGTGGGATTTTGCTGCGCTGCCCCCGGCTGGCCCAGCACAAGTCATAATAATACAAGCTGCAAGCAGAACTACATGCACTTATTATTAACGTAATCGAAAGTGATGTTTCGTACTCTGGTTCTTTCGGTAAAGTCACGTAGGTAGAAAAATAACAGATCACGACGTTTCGATCGCAACACAAGCAACCCGTCTTCAGTATGGCTACAAATCAAGATTGATGATTTTTTTTCATTCAGACGCTATCTTTCCGACAGACCTGTTCTTCACCTGAGGACGGCTGCTTGCGTTGTGGCCGAAACGTCGTGAGAATTATTTTATTATGTTATATTTTTATTATTTTATTATTTCCCTTCTACGTGACTTTACCGAAAGAACCAAGAAGAAGATTGGTGATATCGAATTGTCCCGATGCATAGACTCGCTCCACCATGCGAATGTCCACCACTGGTTCAAAGCTGCAAACAGGACATGAGAAGACTCCTGGACTGCTGTGGGGCGCTGGCCCCGGCCACAGGAACGTGGACATTGCGTGACAGGTAAACAACCACGTGTTGCACCGACCGCTAAAAGCCGCGCCCACTTCCGCCGGTCTCGCGCCACTTCCGGCGGCTGTGCTGGAGGGGGGCGGGGCGAGATCAACACCCGCACCGTCCCATTGGCCGGGCTCACTGCCCACGTGGTCCCACGTCTCCACCAACCGCCGCTCGCCCTGTGGCCCCGCCCACACTCGTCCCACAATCGTTCGCGCGCGCGGGGGGGCGTGACCTGGAGGCTGCGTCACTTCCGGCGTGACGTCACGGGCCGGCTCGCCATGGTGCTCGTCAAGGAATTGTGAGTCCCGCTCAATGGCGGCGAGGAGGAGGCGGAGGGGGTGGAGGCGGGAGGAGGTGGTGGTGGTGGGTAGACCTGGGGGCCGACCAGGGGACCCCGGCACCTACCCCCTTTGCGGGACAGGGGTCCCTTCCACGACCCGTGGGTTCCCCCTCTCACCCCGCCCGGTCTCCCGCTGTCTCCCCACGCGTCTCCCCTCAGCTCCATCTGCCCCTCGCTCCCCGGCAGCCGCCCTCGTCTCTCCGCGTCAGGTCCCCGCGGGGTCTGTCGGGGCCATTGCGGATTCGGTCGTCGCGGTCCCCGCGGTGCCTCTCTCTGCAGGGTCTCCCGTTTCGGCTCCCCGCAGTCCCCTTAGCCGCTCTCCTCCCCCCCCCCGAGGTTGACCCTCACTCACCCCGCTGCCTCCCCGACTTGCCTCGGCTCCCCCCCGCACGCCCGCACCACCGCACCACACTGAAGCGGTGTCCGTCCCACCGCTCCCTCTAACTTCTCGCCTCCTCTGCCTCCCCCCCCCGTAGCCGGGTGCTGCTGCCGTGCTCCGTGGAGGAGGTAAGTTCGCCGCGGGTTCCTCCGCGTGTCTGACAGCTGCTGCACGGGTTCCGCGGCTTCTCACGGGGGGGAGGGGGGAGTGACAGGTCCTTTATCGGTGTTCGATCGGGATCGAACGATCCCTGGGGGGCCTGCGAGGTAGGGGTCGAGGTTTCGGAGCGGGGCCGCCGCACCACCAACTGCGCTGTCGCTTAGTGGCATAAAATAAAATGTTTCACTCCGGATGACCGCTGCAAAGTATGATCTGTGTTTTGATTTAGTGTGCTGATCTTAAGGGTGCATTGAAAATGTTGATACTCCGACTGATGCTCCTGCTGTTGTGGAGTGACTCATGCAGCCATGCAGGGTTTGGTGGTGGTACATGTTGGTTATGTCGTTTATTGTGAAAATTCGGTCACAGTTCCTATGATTACTGTTAAATTTTATGGCTTTATTTTGGTGATTTCGAAAAGTTTTTTGGTTTGGCCATGTTTGTTGTATTACGGAGTGAGACTGATGGCCTTAATCTCAGTTGTCTTGTGGCTGTTGTTGTTTGACTTGCATCCCACTGGGATTTGCAGTGTTGGTGTACGGTGCTTTTTCTGCAATTTTTTGCTGTCTTTTCTTTGATTTCTGTTTGCACATAGTCACTTTAAAATGTTTTCTTGTTCATGTTTTAGTTTTTGTTGCGGTTGCACCTGATTCAAGAGCCGATTGGCTCACAGGGCTATACCAAATAAATGCAACTGAAACTGAAAAACTGAAGCTGTTGGTCCCGGGGTCGGAGTGGCTCTGAGCACTGCCGGGGATTGCACGCCAGTGCTCGAGGCAGCACAGCCGGGTCACTGCCCTCGCCTCGGGGGGCAGCCGTAGCGTGCGGTGTGCGGATACGAGACGGCCACACGGACTCAACGCCTATATAACGCGAAGCAGACCCGCGGTGTGCGAGAGTTTTGCTCGGGGCAGGGAGTAGCAAAATGCGTCTGGCGGCGAGTCTCTTCATTCACAGACAAGCACGTGACCATGCCCCTTTCAGAGGGCCTCGACCCTGAATGTGACCTGACCCCTGCTGCCCTTTCGCGTGACCCCCCCCTGCCCTTTCGCGTGACCCCAGTACCAAGTGGGGCAGCTCTTCTCGGTGGCGGAGGCGAGCAAGAACGAGACGGGCGGGGGCGAAGGCATCGAGGTGCTGCGCAACGAGCCCTACGAGGAGGGCGGCGAGAAGGGGCAGTACACGCACAAGATCTACCACGTGCACAGGTGCGCCGCGACCCCTCCACCGCGGGGCATCCGGGGGGGCGTGGGGGGCAATCACCCCCCCCCTCCCCACGCCCTTTGAGACCGGGAAATTTAGATATTTTTCCGATCGAAGTTGTTTTTATTTATACAATGGATTATTTTCTAGAAAACAAGGTGAAGATCGAATATCACCACAGAAAATGCATGGAGTGTGTGTTTATATTGATGTCGCTCGAAGGTGGGCAGCGTCGACTGTTTATAATTACAGCTTACGGGGGAGCATGTTTCTGCACTGCTGTCTGCTGCCCACCACGTCGCCCCCCCACCCATCCTGTAACAACACCCTGTGTGTGTGTGTGCATGGCGGTACACCATGGGGAGCCCCCCAACAGTCTGTTCAGGCTGTAGGGGGGATATTTGTCTTTTTTCTGTGGTTCACCATCCAAGCACTATCCAGGCTGCAACCTGCTTAGCTTCTTAGATATGATGAGATTGGGCGCATCCGGGGTAAATTGTTCATTAGGCACGGTGCTGTAATAATGGCGCAATTGAAACATTCCGTGAGATTTCCGATCCAAATCGGTGTAAACTACGGGGATTTTTGACTCGGGATGTTCCATTGTACTCTGTAGATCCCACCACAAACAGCCAATCGCATCTCAGTAAAGCCCAGTAATCGTGCTTGCTGATGTTCCTTTACATTCCTGGCGAAGGTCCTGATGTTGGGTGTGTGTGTGCCCGTGTGTGTGCGTTTGGTGGCCTGCAGTAAGGTTCCCAATTTCGTGAGGCTATTTGCCCCCGAGGGGTCCCTCGTGTTTCACGAGAAGGCGTGGAACGCGTACCCCTATTGTCGAACCAGTGAGTTCCCCTGCACCATTCTCTCTTCATCACATCGCCACGCACCACACGTACACCATCTTCACGTCATCATCACGTCACGCATCACACCATCGTCAGATTCACTTTCACACATTCTCCATCGACACTTCGCACATCGCATTACCCGTCATATCACACATTCACCATTATCATATCATCATCACACATTGCATCACCACAGCACATTACGCATCATCATCACATCGCCCATTGTGAAATTTGATATCGGTCGCGAGGTCCCAAATATAATGC